TCTCCTCCAACAGTTAAAAACAACCGTTGTGTTTCATTATTTATCTTATATTTGCTGTCTTTTATTGACTAAAATGAGACACCAGTAGTGTTTATTAATGAAAGTTCTTGTATCTTGAACCGCACAGTTAACAACGTTGGAATAATCTGCAATGATCACTTTGCCTATTTTCTGGAAATACCAGATCCCGGAAAGGTGATCTATTACTTTTTCATCGCCAAACACCGGATGATTTAAAGTAACCGAGGCTATTGTGTGTTTTCTAACTTTATTTCTAATTATTTTGAACAGAAAATCACTGAGATCATCAATTGTAATGTACTCGCTGGGCCCCAGGTAAGACGTCTGCGCTAACATACCATCTAATGGGCTTCATGCAACTTTCTATCTGTAAAAAATATTATGTTGTCACAATACAGATGACCAGACTGATTCTTCCTCGCATGGTGCTCAGGTATCTACAGACACATCAATAACATGCAACATTAGACTGACCAGATCTATAAACATTTGGGTTTTGTCTCACTCCCAGAGGCAAAGGATTAATCATCAACATCTCCTCTGAAATGGGTCTCCGTCCACATCCGCTGGTGGCTCTTTATTCGGCCACCAAGGTGTTTCCCTGGTGTTTATTTTCACACGTTCATTCAAACCCATCATAACCTGCTCACTCACTGGCCCTCTATGTTACGTATGCTTTGTTGCAGATTTTTGTGATAAATTTCTCCCAGTGCTTACAAGCTGAGTACAAGTCAGAGGGGATCACAGTCCAGGTAACTCACACCTGCCCTCTGAAACTGCCCTGGTCTTAATGATACAGTTAATTTATGACTGAAATATGTTGGCTTTTCAATTTACTTGGTTTCTTTATAGATTAAAAGAAGCTCTGATTAACTTTTTTTTTCTTAATTTTTTCCCCTCATGTTTTAGTTAATGGGATAACAAATGAATCTGCAATACTATATTAACACATAAGAATACATGGCTTGGGAAACAAAAAGTAATGGATCCAGTACAGGAAGCGGTGAATAACATCTGCATTGAGCAAATACATGAGAACAAATTTCTTTGTATTGTGTTAGATCATAATGTCTCCTGGAAGCCTCACTTGATGTAAAAGCAAAAATATCAAAAACGTTTTGCAGTTTTGGCAAAAACAAGGCATTTGATAAACCAGGAATCCTTAAAGTTATACTTTTCAGTGGTGTCTTCATATTTGAATTACTGTGTGGAAATTTGGGGAAATACTTAAGAAAACATTTTACAGCCACGTTGCACAATGCAAAACCCCCCCCCCAAAAAACAAGCAGTATACTATAGGGATAATTATAAAAACTCATTACTTTTTGAATTCGACATAAAATTCATGGATCCTGTCAAATTAAAAACTGGTGAGATAATACACAGAGTAAGAAATAATCACTTACCAGAAAACAGCAGAAGAAGTTTTAGAAAGTAAAAAGCACATATACCAATGAGAAGCATGGGCATTGCAGTGTGTGGAGTGAATTTGTGGAACAATTTGGATGAGGACTTGGAAGATTATATAAATATACAGCAGTTTAGAAAATTATATAAAATATCTTTATTGCAATTGTACATGGATGACACAGAAATATAAGAATACATTGATTTTTTTTCTTCTGGGATTTAAGGTTAATTTGTCATTCAACTGAACAAAAGCAAGCTTCTTTTAAAATGAACCTTGACCTTTGTTGTTATCTAATTTCAATGTTGCTGTTTCCTCAGTGTGTGACCCCATTCATGGTGTCCACCAACATGACAAACAACCTAAAAGTCAACTTGTTTGTGAAGAGTGCTCCAGGGTTCGTCTATGATGCTTTGAACACCGTGGGCCACTCCACCTTCACCAGCGGCTGTCTGTCCCATGCACTGCAGGTCAGAGCAGCAGCACGCCACGGTCTGCTCCAATGTTTCAAACTGTCTCCTTCCTCGTCTTCACTTTTCTCTGCTTGAACAAAATCCTACAGAGCACGGCTTTCTCCATTCTCGTGCCGGACTGGCTGCGGATGTCGACATTTTTCATCCGGTGGCTGAGAAAAAGTGGGAGTATAGAACACTGTCGGAAAGGTGTGCCCCGGGAAAAGGGGTGTCTCACTGGAAAGAAAAATAAGTAAATCTTTTATGTTGACTGAAATGATCTCTGACTTTTTTGTTGCCAAATGCCGGCATTGTAGGAAAGTCCTCATATTACAACAGAAAATATGTAAAAATAGGATATATTTCAAACATTTGCTTAGTTACGGATCAGGTTTGTGTCTTTTATGTCTCATTCATGAGAGTTGAGCCCTAGAAGAAAAGCTAAATTTACCCTCCTCCGGTAGTATTATTATTACAGTAGCATAACTCTACAATGCTACAGTGACAAAAAAATAACTGAAAAACAGTATGTGAATAATGCAACAAACACAATTAGATTACTGACAGATTGATGTTTATGTTCCTCAGAGGGAAAAAAAACACTTTAAGTAAACAAATAATAAAAAAAAAAAGATAAATCTCAGCCTATTTAAAGGTATGTCCATGTGCTGTACAGCATCTCCACTGGCGGTATGGTGGTCATGAAAACAGCTTTGGATTACGTTGGACTTGACAAAACACTAGCAAAGTATAGCAACTTAAGTCAATCCAAGTAGCTGTAGAAACTTCAGCTACTTGGATTCTGCAAATCTCCACTTATAAATCAAACATTTTTAGAAAATTACACCGCATGTTGGAAACTATCAGACTAATTCAGGAACACGTAAAAAACTAAGTTCCTCAATCATGTGTAAATTAAAATAAAGAGGCATTAAAATATCTTCAGAAAACTCCAAGAAAATTGTAAAAAAGTCAAGAAAACAGCAGGAAACAGCAAAGTAGCATCAGTTGATTTAGTAATAAGTGATGTGAAGGAGATTCTGATTACAGAGGCGTCACAAAAAAAGCTTTTTATGATGGCTAAAAATAACGTCTCTGAGCAGCTTCACAATTTTACTGCTGCAGAACATCCTGGTGAGGTACAGGTGTTTCCAAACTCCTGAAAGCTTACCTGAGTTCCTCAGGGGACGAAGTTTAAGAAGTGGAAAAAATCAGCATTTCAACGTAAACCAAACACGAACAGGTGCTGCTCACAACATTTCAGAAAATGGAGTCATCAAAAAAACAATCAGAAGAGCTTCGGAGCTAACATGTAAGTTCCCCCCCCCCCCCCCCAAAAAAAACAACAGAAGGCCAACTCCACCACAAGAAGACTCCACCTTCTTTTTTAAAAC